CACCAAATTCAAAAATTAAAGCTGGAATTGCAGAGTTAATGTTTTATATCCATTTCTGTCTTCACTTCTCAGTTTACATTCAGTTTCTGTGTTTGAACCAGGCAGTGTTGTTCTGGGTTTCTCTGAACAAAGACTCAAGCTTTGACTCATTAACCTGTAGGAGTTTTATTTTTTTTTTTTACTTCCTGTGAGATTATTTCAGTCTACTTTCCTGGCACCAATTTAAACATCAAGGGCAAATCCAGAGGGAACGGACACTCCTCTCATTGTTTCCATAATTTTGTGATTGAATCTGAAAAAATGTGTATAGTTTTACATAAAATGCCTGCCTAATGCTGCTTGAATTATAACTGACCATCATCGCCTCTTTTTCCATTAATGACCTTCTTTCCATTAAAATTCATTTTAAAAGTAACTGTATATCTTCGGATAGGCCATTATCTCAAATCATCAAAGTCCTTGGCCTGCTGCCGAGAGTCTGGAACTCTGGAAATGCTGAGAAAGAAAAAGACACATTCAGCTTGACTTCATTCTGCCTTAGGCAAAATAAATTTCAGTCATAAAAATGTACTGTTAAACAAAAGTTGTACTGCAGGTCAAACTCCAGCAGTTGCTGATTGGCAAACAAGTGGTTGGCGGTATCTTATTTTAATAAAATATCATGAAACACACACTTAAAGTTGTTTTTGTGTAAGAAGCCAAACAGGCTGAACTTTTTGGAAAAGTCTTGTAGTCATTAGTTTTTCTTTTTTTTTAACGCTGTGTGTAGGGTTTTATTACATTTTGGTGTCAAAAACCATGAAATAGACCATGTTATGAACTGAAAGAAAGTTATTTTGCATTAAAATTACAGCTGAAACAATTTGTCAATCAACAGGAAATTCAGCTTTCATAATCAGCTGTTTTTAAGCAACATCAAATTTTAAACATATCTGTGATGCTTTATTCACACAAAGTTGTCCTCACAAACAGCCCAGATTCCCCTCTATCAGGCTGTTTTACTAGTTAGTAACCTAAAATCTACATTATTCATGAGTGTGATGACTCATCTTCATCTCCAGCCAATAAGATAAGAAGAGATAAACCTTTATTAATCCCACAAAGGGGACCTAATCATGACCTAATAGGACCTAATGAATTGTAGGGTCGCTGTTGCTCTTTTTCTTGTGTCATGGCTGCAGCTGGAAAAGTAAGACAGAGATTAATGAACCAGCGTCTGATCCTCCATGGGAAGTAGAGGAACTGTTGCTGAGACTTCAACTGGATGTTTCAGTAGGACTGTTTTGAAATTTCCTAACAACGTAATCGTCATTTTTTTCAGATGCAGCCTGAGGCAGCTGGTTTAGCTTTAGCTGTCAGGGTAGTGCTGCGCAGAGGCTGGACTCATCCTTGCGTATCCAGTAGTACACCCAGGTGTGATGCTACGTTTGGCACCCTTTCAAAACCATGAAGATAGATTTCAGTCATGTGACACTAGAGGAGGACCTCCGCCATCACCCTCATTCATCTTAAAACTCTTTTTTGTTTAGTTTTTGTTTTTATTTTCCATCATATCAGCTCTTTAAGGTCCAACTTTGGTTCAACACTATGGCTAAATGACTTTTAACTGGCTATCAAGCTGTTTTTGAGCGTACTGTTTACTATAGAAACTACTTGGCAAGCTGATCTCAAATAAATGTATAAATGAGTGCAGGTGTGCTGTCAGTGTGGCAGATATTTTGTTACGGCAGGTAAAGTGGTGAGTAAATCTTTGCAGCTCAGACTGCGCCATGATGCCTCCAGGACGTGTATTTGACCTTATTTAGTTCTTTGCTGGAAGAAACCACCTGATAACCCCAAATTCTCCCCATTATGTCCATGTAAATGTGACACATATACAGCAGGGACCCACTTATTTAATAATAAAAGAGGCGGTTACATCAGATTTGGTATAACTTGATGAATTAATGATCATGAAGTGAAAAAATAACCCAAACAAACTTTCAGTGGAAAGTCTGTCACTTTCTATCTCTTACTAAATTCATTTCTGTGAAAATGAAAGCCATTTATTTCCAAAATGTATTTCTCTCTCTGAAATTAAGAGAAAAAGTCCTGTATAACTTTTCTAACAGTGCATTTTCAATGAATAGTGTGACCTTTTGGGAAACACTCTAATTTGCTTTCTTGATGAGAGTTAGATAATAAGACCCATACCACTCTTAAGTCTGTACAGTAAATACTGTGTGTAGCTTAAAGAGCAACAACAGGCAGGCTCGGCCCAAAGGGAACAAAGTCCACCTACCAGCACCTTCACTGTGTTATAACTCTTTTTCTTTAACATGCTGTAGCTTCATGCATGCAGATGAGAGAGTGGTCATCAAGCTTCTCATTTAAGTCTCTGCAAGGTTATTTTCCAAAATGAGAAGCCGTTACTTTGATTATTCAAAACTGGCTTTGACGTATAAAGTACCCAAAGTCAGATGATTTTCACTGGTCTGAGAGTAGTTTTCTGCAAAGTGTGACTCTGCCCCTCTCATGGAGTCAGACTTGTATCTGCAGCACTTTGCTGCAGTTGAATCCCAAATGTCTTTGGACAAACCACCAAGTAAAGAAAACCACTTGTCAGACTGTTGGTTTTAATATTTCTTAAAATTGCCACGGTCTTCCCAGTAAGCAAAGAAATTTACAGCTTGACAAAGTGGAAAGTTTTCTTCAGCAGCATGAGTGGTTCTCGATACTGGCCTGAACCAAATAAGATTTTCAGACGCTTGTGTCAGTGTCTTCAGCATGTGCGTCAGGAGAGGTTTACTTGCATGTCTTCTGCTGTGAGAACACAAATTCACCTTCACACAATATCACCGCTCACCCTTCTGTGCTTATCTTACCGTTCATCCCTCACAAGTTCTGTAGTTTCAGTTCATTTCAAAGAAGATAAAAGTTTAGTTGAGACATCAACTGAGCTTCACACATATTTTTTAATTTTACTAGATGACTTGTTTATTTAAAATTCCTTGTTTTACCCATAAAATATATTTTGTCCTGTGGCAGCTTTATTGTATAATGCAGATGTTCATAATTTTATATTTTGATTAACAATTTCAATAACTTGGTGGCAGATTTAAGTCTGTTTGTGGTTTTGTTGCCCCACTGAAACATTTCCAGACTTGGGATCATCGTTGTCGTTGATGTAGAGATGCTTGAGGAATATTCCTAAGTTCCGTTTTCACTCTCATCCATCCTGTATTTGTTTTTGCATGTCTGCTGTTCATCGCTGTCATTTCATAATCGTTTTTCAATAATAAGGCATTTATTTTGGCTACATGAAACACATTCATCCACTTTCTTTCAAAGAAATCTTAGGGCCCCGTGGCCACCAGGGGCCCCACAGAAGTGCATGTTGCCAAAGTATTTTAAGGCTCCATGTATTTTTCTACACATTTCTCTGTCCTATTTACCAAATAATAGTTGCAGAAGTAAACTACACTGAAAACCAATTTAATCAAATTGTTTTCTTTCACTGAGGCTGGGAGATAAAATTCTTGTCAAATTTGGCATCTTGCAACCATCTAGAGCCCTTTTTGCACAGAGACCACAGTAAACCGCCAGTGCTTTGACCCTTCGACCAGCAGCTTTAAATGTGTTTTACACAAAAATTACCAATAATTATAATCCAATATTATATTATACAGTAATGTAAATGTGTTTTGAGTACTTTTACCTTTAGTGCTAAAAGTACGTTTTGATGCTAATACTTTTGTGCTTTTACTAAAGTAGCCTTTTCATTTCAGGACTTTTACTTGTGTTTTTACATTGTGGTATACCTTCTTCTACTTGGGTAAAAGATCTGAGTACTTCCTCCACTACTGGTGACCTTACACTACCACAAAGGTCATTTGATTTATCCTGCATTTTGTGGTAATTTCATGGTCTGTTATATGTAGTTATGCTTTTTTCCAAATAAGGAGAGAACATTGTGGATGAGAGTGTCATTACAAATTTAATAGCACAATACTATTGTGGTGTTTGAAACTCGGCTCTCCACTTTCACCCAAAACACACGCGGGTGCACAGTTTTAATTCAGTAAAGGCATTAATGTCAGTACAGACAGTGTTCATTTAGTTTAATCTAGCCAGTACATATCTCCTTTTGCAGACCAAGCATGCTGACTCTAACTCTGCGTTGCAGCTGGGTAACCAGATTCTGAGTTTACACGGACATGAGCATGATGGGTGACACAGTGTACACAACTCCATTAAAGATCTTAAACCCATTATAAACTTTAAAGTAGTGCTAGTATTGTGTTTTGAATTCTAATGGAGAAACAGCAGAAGATGGATGCTTCAAACAACCTGATGTAACACAAACACAGCATAATAATTACTGCAGCTCTTTTGTTAAAGTCGATAGTAGCAAGAAAGAAAACACGCACATTTCAAGTCTGCTGTTAAAGTGCCTCGCACAGTTCTGTCTGAAGATCTAATGTTCAGTCATGTAAATATGATCATTACAAGAAGGTATTACATTATGTATCACCCAGAGGGCGGGTTTGATTCATGGTGACTGACACGACCTCCAGAACACTTCCACTATTCGTGGCATCTGTATTTGACCCCTCTTACACCTGCACTGGCCCATTACCAGACTGCAGCTGACCGGAATCAGTTTTACCTTGCTGATTCGTGAAAATAAGGCCCTCAGTGTAATGCCAGTTTTCTTTTACTGTAACATAGAATAGAAGAAATGTGTTGGATAAAGTTTTTACAAGCTGACAATCAAGATATCACTACAAGAACTGGCACATACCGCATGAATACAGTAGAAAATAGTTAATCCAACCTTTCTGGCCTGATCGTGTGGTGTAGAGAAAGTGATGCATGGATGTGTATTAAAACTGTGGCTGCCCTGCTCTGCAGTGCACTATAATGTACTGATGTGATGACACTCCATTTAGGGGTCAGTCAGTGTTCTGGAGATAAAGGAAACCCTTTGTTGTCTTATTCCTTTTGTCTTCTCCTCACAGGACACTGGGAGGCGTCCAGAAGAGTTGTTGAATCCGGCTGAATATGTGAGCTACCAGCACATCAGCAACATGGAGCACTTCCCTGAGTCTCGGCCCGCCCTAGCTTACCCTCCGGTTGCCTTCTTGCCTCAGCACCCCTACACACAACAACCGTCCAACGAGCCCATGTACTCCAACACCAACGTCTCAGCCTCTGGCCCTCAGGCTCCATTCACATTCCCCAAGGAGCAATCCGTGTGACATGCCAATAGCTCTTAGCTCTGCAAGACACAACAAGTTAGTGGCACAAATGCGTCATGGAAAACAAAGCTCTGCCAAACACGTCCGTTCCCAGCTCACTTCTGTTTGTTCAGTAAGCTTAAAACTCTTGTGGGCGTCCCCCTGTCATGGTGAGAGTGTCTGTAACTTGTGGCCCTTAGTCCCCTGTGTGTCATGCACTGCTTGCTCCACTGGAGCTGTTTGTGGGACCCTGTTCACCCTGTGATGTTAGCGTGCCCGACACCGACTGCTCTCCTCCAGCCCTCTCTCCTTCACCTTTCACATGTGCCCACTCACCCTGTCTTTGATTGCTTCCTCACCTTTTGCCAACTGTCTAAACCAGGTACACAACATGCCATCGTGTCACTACTCAAATCATAATTTTTCACTTTTTTTTACAGCTCCCATAGTGATAGTTACCTTTTATAGCAACGTGCTTCTTTTGTTTGTTTTCTCTTTGTCTGTCAATCATGTGCTTGCTTCTTTAAAAGTGATATATTATACTATATGTGTGATTGGATGTGCTCTGTTCAAAAAATGCCATTTGATTTGTAAACCTAATTATCAATCTATAATGACATGGACTTCCCCTTTAATGACAGTTAATGACAGGGTTGTTATTGGAAGATTTAAATTGGCAGTCTCTCAACTGAATCCTTCATTACTTTTCATAATGGCTTTGCTGTTACGGACTTTGACTGGATATTTCGGACTATTAGAGGCAAATGTTATCCTCATTAGCTACAAAGAAAAACAAAGGGCTCGAGATTCAACCGTATCTGCTTTCTTCCATTTCTCCATTTATTATTATCCAACCATGCTGGTTATTATTATTATTATTATTATTATTATCTACCAGTAGTTGCCAAAGACATATAGTTTCATTGTCTTTTGTCCATTATTTTTCATGCCACTGCTTACATTCAGACTACACTGCTTAATGGGAGATAAACATAATTGATTGGCAGTGTGTTACACATTCCCAGTTTACATTATCGCTTTGCCATATGCGGTATTTTCCATATCTGTAAGAGAAAATGTGAGCTCCTCACAGGGGCTGGTTTGAGGCTCATGGCATTGTGGGTCCTTTGTGTTTGTGCAGAGTTGTTCTTTATGTAGGTGCAATAGATGAAGACAATCACATACTTGGGTTGTCCTGGGAAAAAGACACAGCTAAAGTAGTTTTAAGTTGCTCTACTCATACTGTACGTATGCACCTAGACTTTTTCAAGGACAGCCCACACATTTAACGTATTTAAATATTTTTTAATTGATTTTTAGTAATATAGCCTAAAGAGTTTAGAAACACTGAGTAGAAAAGCTTGCTACTGTATTTTTTTAGAAAATGCTTAGTTATATACGATCGTACTCCTCTGACTCTTAGTGTCCATTTGAAGCTGTGACTGTTAATTTCAGACCATACATAAGCGGATGTGCTTGACGAGCCAGTTTTAAGAAGCTGCCTCACACACACAAATCCTCACCACACATTTGCGTCAAAATAACGTTCACATTTTTGGCCATGTCAGATGTAAGAATAATGGCAATACCTGTGTTTGTGCTCAATGTGAAAAAGATCCTTGAGGTGTTGAAGGTCATTTAGTGTTTGCTCTTAATGGTGATGGTTAACTGAGCGTGAAACTTGTGAGACTTTTTCCTGTGCTCACCTTGTCGTCTTGCATTGGCTCGATATGTGTGCTAGCATTTAGTTCAAGCAGTGGTCTCCTGTTGGAACTGCTGAAGGAGTTTGATATTGCTGTACCTGCTGTGTGAAAAAACACTGACACACTACTTTGTCTTTTTGTGACACATTTACTATTCGCAAGATCCTTTTTCATTATTATTGTTATTATGATGATGTAAGTTCTTTCTGCAAAAGATGTTTAAAATTGCATTTACATGTATTCACTTTCAGATCCTTATGTTTTCATTCACATTGCATTATTTCAAATGTCCTGAAGATAGCTACCATGTTTGTTTCCACCCTAGACCTTTTTTCTTTTGTGTTTTGTAAGACTAAATTTTAGTTTTTTTAGTTGTTTTTTTTACATACGTACATACAGTATATAGAGTTTGAGCACATTGACTTGTAATGTACATTTGTGGAAGGATAAGGCCTGAATAAATGTTAGGGTTATGAGCTCTTTGGTGTCCAGGGAGAAATGATGTGAAACAATTTAACCTGTTTTCTTTCTTTTTTTAAATTTGGAGTTATGTTGTAAATATTAACAGTGTATCTGATGTGTGAAAAATACAAGTCATGCAGTTTAACATTAAACTTCACAAACTACCGGTGTTATATTTGTTATTTTATTGAGATAAATGTCAACACATTTAAAGCTGCATTAATATTTTTCTTTTTTATTTTACTTTTTGACACTAGGTGGCAGCAGAACAAGCTGAAACTTCACCTCATAATGTTGATATGGGTAATGTGTTAGCCAACACTATGCATGCAGTGAACATGGTGCAACACTATCTTTCATTCTGGCACCAGTTTCTAGTCATGAGTGTACTGTAAGTCCAATATTTTAGTCCCTGATTGAATTATTTGTTGCTAATCGTTCCACTATTTTCATGATCATTCCCTGCCATCTACAGGTGGATGAGTGTGATGCTAGCATATTAGAAAATAAGCTACAGGAAGTTATATCAATAGCACAGCAGGGAAGTCAAGAGGTGCTGATCATTCATTGTGGGATCAACATTATGACTGATCCCTTTCATCTTACATACAGATATTTGAGCCAGTACCAATGTGAAATATCAACTGGTGCAGCTTTAAAATGATATAAATGTCTGAAATGTAATGGGAATTTTGTAATTTTTCTGTGAGATTTACTTTAGTGGCATAAATTGCAGTTGTTTTGCAAATTAGACATTTTAGTACAAAATCTCTCTGTTAGCATCTGTTGATTTGTTTGCAAACTGATTATACATCAGGGCAGAAATGTCACCTTATACAATTGATATGGCAGCTGTTGCAGGTTTACACATTCAGCAAACTCAGGGAAACATTATCATTCATTTGTCTACTGGATGAACCCCAATATTCACTCACTCATATAGTGAAATGTTTTAAAATAATGTTATAATGTAAGGTGGATTTGGCTCATGCTATTATATACAATATTTTACTTTAATGTTAATCCATAATATTTCAAGTCATTAGTCAAACAGAGCAATAATCAGCTGCACTCAGTTGTTACTGGCCAGTGCCAGAGGAGAGATGTGGCTGCTGGAGAGAGTGTAGCCTACAGCAAGACACAGGAACAGAGCTGGACACAGTCAGACCTGCATGAAAAAGACTTTAAGCCCAAACAGATTTTTGCCATAAACATCTATTATAAACATTAAAGAACATTTCCTGAGCAGCACATAGATTCAAAACAACTCCTGGGTATGTTGAAGCTGAATTATTTGGCCCTTGTAGCAACGTATCTTTCAGTTTTAACATGTTCATATAGCAGTTGCAGAATGTTGCATCTACCAGTGGATTATGTATTCAATGTTATGGCCTTTTAATACCAATGAAATCTAATTTCTAAGAAGTAGAAGTGTGCTGGAGAAAGTTCCTGCAGCATCTTGACTTTAGTACCCATAATGCATGGGTATTAGTGCCTCTCTCTGGCCGTGTCGACCAGCTCCCTGGAGATATGATTGGCACTAGAATACTGTAATTCAGTATACACAGCGCTTGATAAGACTCGTAGTGGCTTTTTCACCTAATGGTTCAAACTGTGGTAAATCCACATCATAGCTGAATGTGTGTGACACTCAGGAATTTTTTTCTTGATAGTTTTACAGCCATTTCTACAGAAGGCAAAATGTTTCTCTGGCTCCCAGGGTGTCACATGACCTTCAACTGTGGTCATCAAAAATCCCAGTCTAGTGTTGTATTGGAGCTGTATGGGGGATAATGTGGATATGTAATGTGGCTGGTTCCTTGGCCATAGGCAGCATGCCATTTCAAGTGCATGTTCTTATGACTACGTGTTGTGTTTAAGGAATGAATTTGATCTAGCCCTGTTTCTGCTCCTACAGTTCTACTGTGAAGGCCATTCCTGTAGTATAGTGCTCAAACATACAAATGTCTTTTGTACCCATGCCACTAAATGGCTGTAGATTTATTATAATTATTTAAAATTTGAGCTTTTTCCCTCATAATGGTCATTAAGATACTGAGGCAGATTCCATTAACACGTCAATGCTATTACAATATATTATTGTAAAACAATGGCTGTCTGGAAGTGCTGGAAATGTAAATGGGAAAAAAATGCACAAAGGCGCTTTAAAGACCCTTTAAGGTAATGCAGTCAATAGGGAAATTAAGAGACAATGGATAAACTAAATATTTAACTGACACAATAATGTTCATTTGTTTTCAGCACTGTTTACTCTTGAAAACTGTATTTGTTCCATGCTGAACAACTGACCTTTTTATGAACCATGTCTAAACTCTCTTACTGCATTTTTCACTGTGCTCATATTACATTGATTAGCAGGCCTGCTATTTTCAACATAAAGGCTATGTCATTTGGTGTTGGTGATATTTGTTGCCACTGTTGATGTTTTATATGCTGTAGCCTATATAATAGCTAACTAAAGTTAGTCCACCACCCTAAATTAGTGTCATGATTCCCCTGGACTTCCTGTTACAGCACTTTTACTTTATGCACTTCCACCTTCCTGCCTGCACCTGTTTTGTAGCAGCTTTACCATTTCCAGCCAGTTCCAGTTAGTCACTACTGTTTTCCATATGACTGATCCCCGGGCTGGATTCAAATAGCCAGCTAGCTTCATACTCTTTTTGCTAGTGATTTCTTTAACAGAGACTTTTCTGCACCTGCACCCAGTTTCCATGTCTGGACTCAGCCCCTGGGACCCTTGTTAGTTTGCCCTTTGGACTCTCAGGTTGTAGACATTTGTTTCTCCTTTTCTGATCAGTTATCCGTTTCCTGTTCCCTGCTTGTGTTACTGTGCCTGTCCTTTGGTTGCCCTCTGTATTCTGCCCATTGGCCTTTGTGAGTTTGTTTGTAATCTCCGTAGTGATGTTACAGCAGCTCCGGTTTTCTGTTTCCAACTGTTACTTAGTCTACTCCCTGCTTCAGAGTGTAAAGTTATTCACTAACGGCTTTCTTTTCTAGCCCTTCACTAGTTGTTGCCTCAGTGTTTGCCTGTGCCTTTTGTTACTGTTATTGTGTCCTCGTAAGTTAGCCTTACTATTTGCTTTGCTGTGTTTTCTGAGCAGCCTTGCCATTTATTTCTCACTATCTCCTGAGTCTGTCATATTTCCTGTCAGCAAGCTCACCTTAGTTTGTCAGTTTATACATATGGTCCTGTTCCCCCTGTTCTCACTCTGAGTCTGCATTTAAGTCCAGTGTTCTCAAACCTTAGCTTCACTCAGGATAGTAGCCTCATATTCGTGGCCCCTGGGGTACAACAAAATGTTTAGCCATTGTTTGAAAGTTGCAAAGTTCATTATTCATTCGGCTGGGATTTAAACAGGTCTGATCGACCTAAAACTGTAGCATATCATCAGTACTGAACTTTGTGTCTGCTGGTGACTTACAAACCCAGTTTCTGTTCCGTTTATCACATCTTGGAAACAACACTATTGGTGTATATTTAGTTTTGTTACCGTTTTTACAAATAGAAGTAGTAAAGCTGCTCCAAATGGGATTAATAAAGTTGTTTGGGTTGTACTGAAGAAATAAGAACTTCACAAGTATATACACAGTCTTACAGGCAGCTGAGTAGTTCAATGTCACTCTTCTGTAAGGCACATGCACCTTTTATATTGTGCTCTATTATCAGGTGATTGTTTCACCTTTTTCCCACCTTCTGCTGATTATAATAATAAACCAAATATTGTACAGTAGTACACAATATGTCTGACCTTCAGGCTCAACTGAGACAAGTTTTGTGTAATTAAACACAAAAATAAATGCAAAGCTTCCAATTAATTTCTTCTTAATTACTTTTCTGTTTTCCTTCCTTCAGAATAACACACAGGACAATGTCTCACAAAAGACTGTACCTGGTGTCTGGAATGTAAGCTTTTTTTTTTTATTTGACACTGTAGAATTGATGGAATAATATCTTCAAAAGACACTGTATGCAGCCAAATTTTCAAAAGCATATTTTGGACACAAACGTTGTCACAGTGAATACACTGACAGTTGACGGAACAAGGTAGATGTCGGCTATTGTGAGGCCTAAATGAAATGAAAGCTACCCTAACCCTAATGTGATCAATTCTGTCCTGTTAAAACCCTACACTGGTGGTGCTGTGTATACACAGTATCTGTGTGAGCAGTAAGAGCAGCAGAATATCCAACTCGTAACCCCATTTCCTCATTACCGAAGGGCAGGTTAACTTGAGTCCTTTTCTCCTGAGAGATGCAAGAATCGCTTGAACTCATCCTGAAAAGCCCACTTGATTGGATTGGGTGAAGTCTCCTGGAACAAATCCTCTGTCACATTTATGTAACATGTCGCTCTGCTCTTCTTTTACTCTTCACTAATTTACTTCGTCTTGCTAATATCTGTGTAACAGATATCTCAGCAACACAGTCAAGAATACCAAATAAAATGTATCAGAATAGTGCAAGATAAATGAGCTTTTTTTTATTGACACCCAAGAGGCTTTGCTTTTATTCACTGTGAAAGACAAAGGTTTACAATTTTAATTTAAATTTGCATTCCCCAGTGACTTGAGTAGTAACTGTGTATGTGGTTTGCTTGACAACACTACAGACTCAGAAAAAAAAACCTCTACACATTACAACCTCACATATGCAATTTTTGCTGCAGTATCTCTGTGGTAAGAATAACAGCTCCTTCAAAAATGTATGACTTTTATGCAAATGATTCATATGCAAAGGCAGAATTATTTATAAAGCACACTTCATACACGGAGGCAATTCAAAGTTCTTTGCATAGGCAAAGAGAAACATTAACAGAATTAAAACCTATAAAAGCAGAATGAAATCAGTTGAGACAAAATGAAGATAAAACATTGTTAAATGAGATAAAAATGAAAACAAATAGACAAAACAAAAGGTCTGAAACATGACCGTTGTACTGAATGCAACAGAGAAAACAAAAGTGCAGCAGAGAAACCATTCAGTCAAAGGCACAGGAAAACGGTTTTTAGTTTAGACTTGAAAGTAGTAAAGTTGGGGCACATTTAAGGTCATCGGGAAGCTTGTTCCATCTGTGTGCAGCACAGTAGCTAAA